AACGGTCAGAAAAATCAACCGACCGACCCAAATTCAATTTTTTGGTAACTTTCATATTGCTCAAGTGTACATGTATAGCTTTAAATTCTTTCAATTCGCAAGATGTGTATATGTAAAGCTTTTAATTCTTTCTATTTGCCACCCGCAAAAGAAAAATATCTTTCTGTTCGCAAAAAATAAAACTTTTAATTCTTGCTTTAATTGCTTCGTTCGTGCACCTCCATCCAAGGTTTGGCAACCAAAAGCAGAGGCGCCTTGAGGCGCACGGAGAGGCCGTGCAGCTCGCTCAAGTCCACCGGCGGCATCCTCCCGCCAGGCAGCTCCCAGTCGAAGTTACACACGAGGCTTGCCAGCGCCAGCTCGTTGGACATCATGGCGAACCCGACGCCGGGGCAGCCCCTCCTCCCGGCGCCGAAGGGCAAGAAGGCGAAGTCCTGCCCCATCTTGAGATCGTACCCGAGGAACCTCTCCGGCGCGAACTCCTTGGCGCGGCTCCCCCATGTCGCCGGGTCGTGCCCGATGGCCCAGGCGTGGATCAGGACCCTGGTGCCAAGGGCGGCGCTAGGGGTATTCTTGGGTCTTCATGTGAATACCCATGATTTTTACAAAACCGTGTTGATTTTGACAGAAGAGTGACAATTTTCGAAAAACAACGATGATTTTGGCAAAATGAATACACATGAATACCCGGTTGCAAATTCCTGGAGCCGCCACTGGCCGCCGGCACGTCGTACCCCAGCAGCCGCGTGTTCTCCAGCGTCTCCCGCGGCAGGAGCAGCGGCGTCGGCGGGTGGAGGCGCAGGGCCTCCTTCACCACCGCCTTCAGGTAGGGCAGGCGAGGGAGATGCTCCTCCGTGACGACGGCGCCGGCGCCCGGGCCGACTGCCGCGCGGACCTCGTCCTGTAGCTTGCGCATCTCGTGCGGGTGGTTGATGAGCTCCGCCATGGCCCATTCCAGCAGCGTGAAGGCCGAGTCCGTGGCGGCCGCCAGCATGTCCAGGATAATGCCCTTGATGCTGCCCGTGTCCAGCTCTTCCGCGTCCAGCATCACGTCCACGAAGTCTCCCTCCTCCCCGGTGGCCGCACCCGCGCCGCGGCGCTGGCGGTGGTCGGCGATGACACGCTCCAGCAGCCCGTCCATCTCGTCGAAGACGCGTCTCGTCTTCTTCTCCAGCCCCGTGACGACGTCCACCCACCGCAGGCACGGCACCGTCTCTCCCATGGGCACCGTGCCCAGGAGCTCCTCGATCTCGGCGAACACCTTCCTCAGCCTCGCGCCGCCGCCGCCGCCGCCTTCGACCCCGTAGTCCGTGTCACCAAACGTGCATCGCGAGATGACCGTGTTAGAGTACACAATGAGGTTGTCGCTGAGGTTCATGACATCGCCCGCGTGCGGGCGGACCCGGTCGACGAGCGCGGCGGCCTCCTGCGCCTGGACACGCCCGGCGAGGGGGGAGCTGCTGGACCCGCGGATCCGCGCCGGCGAGGAAGCATATCGATGGCTAAGGGAAGCGGTGGAGGAAGCGGCGGCGGGGGTGGCGGCGATGCGGAGAAGGGAGGTCGCGGGAGCATGGGTAGACCAGGCTACTAGAAGCCCGAAACACCAACCAGCAAGTTAAGTAAATTATTAAAATTTATACTAATTTCAGAGAGCGTCTATCTAGGACACATCTAGATGTGACACTATGTCACACCTAAGCTGATGTCCACTCTGTTTATGGTTATTATTATTTTTGTCCTAGTTTTTTTTTTACTTATTGCTGCATTATATGTTTGTGGGAGCTTAGATGTGACATGCATCCTTAAAAAACATCTAGATGTGAATTAGACAAACTGTTTCAGAAAATAGAAGGATGGCAAGTGGATTCCACCCACATATAGCAAGGTGAAAACACCAAGCATGTGTTCCTGCGCATGGGCATATCGGACGGCCTGGCAGGGTGGGTACGTAGTAAGAGTGAATTTGGGAATGGTGTAAGCGCGGACGTGTTGTTTAGCAACTAGTAATGCGCTCGCCAATGCTCTTAATGACCGTCCCACTGTATCCATGCTAGCTTCTCTTGCCAACGCAGCTTTATGCACGCATGCATGCTGGCGCGCTTTAATTTGGTGCCTGTTTTAGCCCGCGTTGATCATCATCCGTTCATCTTATTACTAGTAACAAATAATACTCTTGATGATCCCCACGGTTTATGTTACCGCCTTTGTTATCACCTGTTAATGTGCACCCTCTTTAGGTTTTAGCCCGACCCCGTGGATCGATCGATCGCCCGTGGAACCAAGAAAAACGAGTGCACTCTCGTGTCGCTTCCTCGTGATCCATTGCTTCTTCTGCTCCTGGAGAAAGTGTGGCAGAAAATCCAAACCCTCTGTCGTGAATCTCCGGCCGGCCGGTAGAATGACTTCGCCGCCGGCGTCTGTGAGGCCGGAACACGACGCTTCCGCCGGCGGTGGCGGCCAGTTCCACGTGCTCAACTCCAGCAGCGGCGCCGGCGGCGGCGGCTCTGACGCTGGGCAGCCCAACGGCGCGGCGTATCGGCAGCCGCTGCCTTCTCCACGGGCCGCTGCGCCCGCCAACGGCGCGGCGTACCGGCAGCTGCCGTCTCCACGGGCCGCCTCTCCTGCCAACGGCGTCGCGCAAGGTAACGGCGTGACGGCGTATCGCCAGCTCCCGTCTCTGCGAGCCTCCGCTCCAGTGAACGGCGTCGCAAAAGCGAACAGCGCCACGGCGTTTCGGCAGTTTCCGTCTCCGCGAGCCGCCGCTCCGGCGAAAGGCGTCGCACAAGCAAGCGGTCGGCCGCTCCCGTCTCCGCGAGCCGCCGCTCCGGCGAAAGGCGTCGCACAAGCAAGCGGTCGGCCGCTCCCGTCTCCGCGAGCCGCCGCTCCAGCAAACGGCGCCGCACAAGCAAGCGGTAGGCAGCTTCCGTCCCCGCGAGCCACCGCTCCAGCGAACGGCGTCGCGCAAGGGAACGGCATGGCGGCGTATCGGCAGCTGCCGTCTCCACGAGGCGCCGTCCCAACGAACGGCGCGACGGCGTATCGGCAGCTACCGTCTCCACGGGCCGACGCCTCGGCATTGTGGCGTTCGACGCCGGTTCGCGCCATGACCGCCTACGGCCCTCCGGCCACCGGTGGCGCCCCGCCGGTGCCCATTGCCATGCGGGCTCCGTCCACGCAGTCGATGCCGTCGCCGCACCTGCTGCAGCAGCTCATGGTCTTGGCGGGGTGGGGCGCTTCTTCCAGACCGCCGTGGCTGCAGAGCTACGTGCAGGGCACGCCGCCGCCGTTCTCCACCTCCGGGAGAGGCCGTGGGATGCAAACACCTTTCGCGTCTTCACGGATACCACGGATACCGGGGGCCAGCGCCAGCGGCACCGCCGTAGCCGCGCAGAGAGACGCCGGCGGTGAGCATGTTCCCAAAGATGCTGGTGCTGGCCGCGGCAAACCGGCGAGCGAGAGGTCGCTCCAGATCGTCCCTGCTGACGATGGTGCCGGGGCCAACAAGAATGTGCCACCGATCGGCGGCAACGGCGAAGGGGCCGGCAAGAACGTGACGCCGGCCGGCGAAGGCAACGGCGATACCGCCGTGGCGCTTCTGGGCCCTGTGCTCGCTATTCCGTCCACGGGGGCCGTCCGCAAGGGGAAGGCCGCTGCTAAATCGCCGAACGGCCGCCTACGGAAGCCGCGCGCGCCCAAGGGGAGCAGCACTCTGGCGGGACCCAAGAAGGTCCCCGGCAGGAAACCCGCCGCCGACAAGCCGGCGGCCACGAATCCCAGCGCCCAAGGCAACGACCAGCCAAAGACCGTGTCGCCTCCAAGCAGCGGCAGGAAGAGGAGGAACGCCGCCCCGGCCGCGGCCTCGCCATCGCCGGCGCCGAGCAGCGCCACGCGGTGCAGCCTCGTCGCCAGGGTGAACGACAGCAACAGCACGCCCGGCACGGCGGCGGCGGCGGGAGAAAAGAAGCACACGGTCCTGACATGGCTGATCGACGCCGGCGTGCTCAAGGAGAGAGAGCAGGTCTTCTACGTGCCGGGGCCGGAGGACAAGGCGAGCATCACCGCGAAGGTCGTGTCCGGCGCGGTGACCAGAACGGGCATCCAGTGCAGCTGCTGCGACGGCGCGATGGCGATGGCGCTGCCGGCCTTCGCATCGCACGCCGGCTCCGCGGACGGGTCCCCGGCGCCGTGGGAGCGGCTGCTGCTCATGTCCGGCAAGCCGCTGCTGCGGTGCCTGCGGGAGGCGTGGGACCTGGAGCGCGTGAAGATCTTCCGCGCGGAGGAGACGGCGCGGGCGGCGCTGGAGCAGGACCGGGAGCGGAGCGCGCAGGCGAAGAAGCGGTCGCTGCAGCTGCTCGCCAAGCAGGGGAGGAAGGGAGGCGCTCGTGCTGCCCTAGCCGTCGACGGCGGCGGCGACCGGAGCGACGACGCGTGCGGCGTGTGCGCGGACGGCGGGCAGCTGTTGTGCTGCGACAGCTGCCCGTCGACCTTCCACCCGGAGTGCGTCGCCGTGCAGGGCGTCCCCGACGGCTCCTGGGCCTGCCACTACTGCCGCTGCTTCCTCTGCTCCGCCAGCGACGGCGCCCCCTCCACCTGCCACCAGTGCGCCCGCAAGTGTAAGCAATCCGCCATGATCACCTCTCATACTGTTGAAAAAACATATCTTCACTGACGACACCTCTGCATGCATGCTTCCATGCAGATCACAACCACTGCCGCACGTCGCTGTTCGCCGGGCACGAGATCGGGCCCTTCTGCAGCGAGTCCTGCAACAAGGTGAAAACAGACGCTGAAACATTCATTTTTGCTTTCGGCAACACACTTATTGTACTGCTGAAACTCCTGATCATACTGCTACTGCCACAGTGACATTGACTGTGAGTTTGGGATTTATGATTTCAGATTGCGGCGAAGCTGACGGAGATGGCGGGGGCGGCGAACAGGGCCGATGAAGACGGCTACTCCTGGTCCCTGCTGAAGATGCAGAAGGACGCCGGGGACTCCGCCGCCGATCTCGAGTGCAACACGAAGCTGGCCGTGTCGCTGGGCGTGCTGGATGAATGCTTCAACCCCGTCAAGGACCGGCGCACCGGCGTCGACATGCTGCACCAGGCCGTCTACAGCCTCGGGTAAGCTCAAGCTCTTTCTCACAGTGTTACTCCAACTCCAGGCAAATGAAGATTCATCAGGGGGTGGCACTGCTGTTTGAAGAAAGCTTGGATTGGTTGCTTCAGAGTGGCACTGTTATCTGGAAATTAGAATCAATTCTGATCTGTTTTTGATGATGATGGTCTTTCTTGAGCGTGTAGGTCGGAGTTCAAGCGGCTAAGTTACGAAGGATTCTATACCATGGTACTCGAGAAGGACACAGAAATCATCTCGGTAGCCCTGTTAAGGTATCCTTTGCTGCAATTGTGTACTATACATCTTTTTTCAAAAGAACAACAGATGAATGTACATTACAGATTTTTTTAGGCCAAAAAAAGATACAGTAATTTTAAGTTGTTTATAGATGTAATTTATGATTTTAAGATGTGTACTATACATTTTTTCGGACGAACAAAAGGTGAAGGTACACTAAACATTTTTTTTGAGGCAAAAAAGAAAACAGATATAATTTTTTAAAATGTCACAAACATTTTATATTTTCCGAATGGTACTACTTTTTTTATTACACAAACTTTTTTTACCTGGTATAATCAATTCTTAAAAAATGTCACATACTTTTTTTAAACGCGTGAACCAATTTTTAATGCTATATTTAAAAATTACAGTACAAAAATGAACACCACATATTTTTGAATTCTCAGTGTTTTGAAAATTAAGTATATTAAGTTTTTTTAATATATGTATTCATATTTTTGGAAAAATATATTAAAAAGCAACCAAAAGCAGTACATTTAGATTCCTTGAGGCGAGACGCGCTTGTATCTCACTGCAGGCTAGACACAGCCGCGCACGCACATGTATGATAGTGTCGGGCTTTTGTATGTAAGCAAGGGTGGGTGTTTGTTCCCAATTGATAGAGGCAAATGTGTGGTTTGTACAAGTGTCCAATAATATCGCAATTTGACATAAAATAAAAAGTAGCTGAAGTATTTTTATCCTACATAACATAAACAGAAATGACCACACAAATATGCAAGCAATATTTTTGTCGTATCCAAGGTAGCCATGTCCTCATCACCAACCAACCATTTTTCCTTCCATTTTTCATTTTTATAACGTATTCCCCGACCAAATCTTCAATTTCCCATAAAACAAAATGTACAAAACATTTGGCTAGCCAAATGAGTGTCAAGTACTGTAGATGAGAAGACAGTCATACTACTCTTAATTTGCTCGAGCATTTTAGCTGCATGTACCGTAATTAACTTTGTAGGCTGACGGAGTACATAGCATCCAAAACCGAAAAACGTATGGCGATGAACACGCCTGTCTGAGATAAGTTTGCCTCTTAATATACCTTGCAGGTTCCATGGCAACAAGCTGGCGGAGATGCCGTTCGCCGGCACGCTGCCGCACTACCGGAGGCAGGGGATGATGGGCCGCCTCGTCAAGGCCGTCGAGCAGGTGGTTCATAGATCAAGAGAACAACCACCATTTTTGCAATGAGGGTCCAGAGATCGCTTGTAAATTTTGCTCTGACGCATGCGCATGCATCACTTGTGTTGCCAGGTGCTGACGACGGTGCAGGTGGAGAAGCTGGTGATTCCGGCGGTGGCCGAGGTGGTCGACACATGGAAGAGGTCCTTCGGCTTCGCGCCCATGGAGCCGCGGCTGAGGGAGGAGGCCAAGAGGCTCAGCATGGTGGTCGTCACCGGCACCGTCATGCTGCAGAAGCACATCGCCAGGCAGCAGGCTGCGCACGGCGACGAGGATTGCCAAGAGGCGCCGCCGATGACTGAGGACGAGCTGGCGTTCCTGGAGATGAGCTGGCCGCTCTCCAGTTTCACCGACCTCGTCGCCGGGATCGCGTTCCCGCCGCCGTCTGGCGCCGACCCGCTGGCCGCCGCCGTGAGGGGGCTGGGTGTGGGTGTCCCGGGGACGAGCGGCCGGCGGTCCTGCGGCGGCGAGGCGGTGGGCTCCAGCGTGTTCCAGATGCATAGCTACGCACCTGCTGCGCACGGCGCCGGTCTCCGCCTCGGCATGAACAAGTAATGAGGCAGGCTGGTGTTGCGAGGAACGACGATAGACTTCTGAAGATTTTTTTTGTGCCTTTCTTTATTTGAGTACTGAAATTTACATGTTGTTCCTTTCGAGAAAAGGCGAAAAAATGGACTGATTACTCGAAATTGGATATTTGGACTGATCACTCTTGAAATTTTGATATTTGAAACTTATTTACATCAATATATGCATATCTGGGACATGCTTTGGGAATTCCAATTTATGTTTATGTTATCAGGGGATCTATATTACAATTTTTTTAAGAGCACGTGCTTGTGGATTTTTTTTAAGAGCACGTGCACGTGCTTCTCTATTTGAGCATTAAAATTTATAGCTACATGTTGTTCATTTCGAAAAGGCGAGAAAAATGGACTGGTTACTTTGAAGAGAAGGACTTCGGTACAACCCCC